AAAAAGAAATAAATTAATGAACAATAATAATGCCAATTCATAACTAATGAGAAGACATCAACATCGAAAACGATTAACACCTAATAAAGTACTATTATATAAATCATTATTACAGATAAGTTTGCTTCTGGGGTCCCAAGCATTTTCGTGATCAACTCATTTACACTAATCATTTTTAGTAGAAAAATGCTAATCAATTTAATAATAATAAAAAAAATGTCAGTATGTAAATATTTGCATCAAGTAAGTAATATACTCTTAAATTCATTTTATATTACAATTTTGCTATTCCACTTCAAATATAAGTATGAGTTGTAACGGATTCTATTGATTTTGAAACATAATTATTAACAATATTCTTATTTACTCCACACCAAAATATTTAACTCAATCAGAATGACTAATAGGAAGCAAATGAGACAAAGACCTAACACATGAAACATAGTGATAGAATTTATAGTGATATAATATTGTAAAAAAATTCCAAAGCGTACAAAATAAGTAGTGAAATGGTAATTGTAAGCATAGTTTTTAAACCCGGCCCGGTAATCGACCCGGGGAGGTCTTCGGGTCACCGGGTCACCGGTTCAACCGTCGGGTCGCCGGGTCAATTGCTGAACCGGATAATTAATTTTAAAATTTATAAAATTATATATAGAGTATTTTGTGATATATAAATATACATAAAAATAACAAATTTAAATATTTTGTATGTAAAATTTGTAGATTAAAGTGGTAATAATATGTATATATTTATCATATAAATATATATACATAATTTTATTTTTTAAAAAGAAAAAGAAAATTAAAAAACAAAAAAAAATAAAAAAATACATATAGACCGGGTCAACCGGGTTGACCCAGCCGGGTCAATGCCCCGGGTCGACCGGGTCAAGGCCGGGTCGACCGGGTTTTGACCGGGTTTGACCGGGTCCGTTGTTGCCCGGTCCAATTAACCCACCCGGACCGGTTCCGGCTCCGGGTCGACCGGGTCCCGGGTCGACCCGCCGGGCCGGTCCGGGTCACAAAACACTGATTGTAAGTAATAAATCGAATATTTTTTTCTTTTGAAAAAAATGTTATTTAAGAGTTTGTAGTATGTGTTCATATATGATGTGCAGTTGTATATATAGAGCGGTAAATACTAATACCATTGAAAACAACCGTTAATTAGTCGTTGTAATTTTTTATAATTCTTTTCTTTTTATTTTTGATATTTTTTTATACATTATTATTATTATTATTATTATTATTATTATTTTTACTATTATTAATATTATTATTAAAGCCCGCTTAGCCCGTTTAGCCCGAAACCCGCTAGGGTTAGGGTTAGGTCCTTTTATTGATAGCCCGTTTAAATCCGGGCTTTTTAGGCCCGGATCATTTAGCCCGAAGTCCGCTAGGGCTAGCCCGTAACCGCTAGGGCTAGCCCGTTTAACATCTGTAATTATTACAGATAAGTTTGCTTCTGGGGTCCCAAGCATTTTCGTGATCAACTCATTTACACTAATCATTTTTAGTAGAAAAATGCTAATCAATTTAATAATAAAAAAAATGTCAGTATGTCATAATTTTATTTTATTTTTTAAATAAAAGTCATATCTATGAAAAAAAAAAAAAAATTATTTATATTTTTTTTAATATTTTATTTTTGTAAGAAAATACACATATTCAATAAAGAAAATTTATAACACAATATTGTGTATCAGATAGTGATTGATTTTGAGTGACAATTCTTTTGCCATTTGTGGAGGTAAAACCTTTTCTTCAGAAGTCATAAATTTATTTAACTTTGGTTTGACAACAAGCATTGCATTCTGGTGGGCTTTTTAGGTTAAGGAACAGTGACTTGGCTTATATTTTTTTTTAAAAAAAAATGTGTCAAAATTAAATGTTACTAAAAATAATAGGATTTTTTTTATAATTAAACATATTTGTATAAGAAATTTGTCTATATTTAAGTATATTAAAATCAACTTTAATTAGATAATTATTTCTTTTGTATAGTTAACCACTTATTTTCTTTATTTTTCTTATGGGAAAAAAAAAAAACATTTTTTGATAGGTAAAACATCAGTGTTCAAGTAAAATTGACACCCTATGATATGTTATCCATTTCTTAAGCAAATAATAAAAACAGAACAAGTTATCTCTTTTCCCTTCTTATTTCGGTTTCAATACTAAAGAGCACATAAAATAAA